GTGCAGACTGCTCCTCTATTCTCCTCCTAGATGCAGTAAAACTTTTGCATGTTATGAATCAGAAAATGGTCAGTATGGTTATCTCAGTGGGAAACTAAATGTAGCTCAGCTTGTCCTGATTTCTACAAAGACTTTTTCCTCAAAGATGCTGATGTTTAAATCTGGTCAAATGACCTAAGATGATATTTGTTGTAATTTGGCACTTTACAAACTCAATGAAATAAACAAAACTGGGCTTCCATTTAGTTCTAAGGAAAGTCTCTCTGTTAAACCCTTAACTGGACGTCCAATAGAGACTCATTTTTCCATGCGGTTTACCTATTAAACTTGTTTTGTGTTTGTTTGGCTCAAATATGACTCCTTTAGATCTGAACACAAAAATGTCAACAAAACTTAACTTAATTTGAAATGGGGTATTAGTAAAATAATTGGTTGTCAATAAACACAATAAAATAGATTTAAATGCTGCAGGGGCGTCTAACACTTTCTGCAAACATCTATTGGTCAGACAACTCAGAAGAAGGGACAAACTGGCTAACTTTAAATCAGATCCAGGATCTTTAAAGAAAACATTTGGCTTTTATCTCTGCTCATCAGCGCTCCCTGAGTTAAGTCCCTCTTCAAACACTCAAAATGCATCATGTTTTTTCTATGTAATGTCACTTTACTGTTTTGCACCCCAGCTTTTTTGACAGTGAAACAGCTGCTTTGCTTGCCTTTTTTTTTTTCATACAGCTGCTCGAGGCAGCAAAAGCGCACACACACAATTATGCAAACACATAGACAGCCAGGAGCTTTAACTCCACACTGAAGTTTGGAGTAAATAAGCTAGAACTATTGTGCGGAAATATTGACTATGGCAAATTATTAAGGTCAATCCTGATTACATGTAGCTGTCAGAGCAGCCTTATTTTTAGTCAACCCAAGATCTAAGCAGTTATAAACAAGCATTACTCAGTGGTAGGAGAGAGAAGCTAAACTAGTCTAAATAAAGACTGGAACAGTGCAGACTGGTAAATCAAAGAGCTGTTCAAGGTCATACTAGTAGAATAATCTTAAGTGGCCAGCATGCAGGAAACCAATCGGATAGAAAACCTTTATAAGGATTATTATCAGATATGCACTGATTTACAATCAGAAACGTACCATAACCGCCTTTCTCACTCATCTGCAGCAGTTATCATGATGGATTGGGGAAGAATGACCAGAGTATTACCCAGGGGCCGTTTGCAGCTCCCATTTAGATTTTGTTTGGCCCTTGACTGTAATGCATGAATTGAGCAAACTGGGACTATCAGTAGAAACTTTAAGCTGCAGAATAAAATATTGTACAAGTTTCCCTGATAAACTGCAATGTTCTTAAAATGGAGGATCTAAAATACAACAAGTTTATCTTTTATTGGGTAAGGAAACTGCTTTTATTTTAATTTAAGGATGGGCAGTGCATCTCTAAACTATGCAGGTGTTTTTAACTTCAGAAGGACCCAAATATCATTATTGTTGCTGAGAATATCTGAAGAAAAATAAAAAATGAAGAAAAAAAAACAGTTTGGGGAAAAAAAAAAGTTTAGGGTAAGTTAAAGTCTCTCAGCCCTGCAGAAGAAAAATGATTAGCTTCCAGGGTCAGAGATTTTAAAAGGGTTACCTGTAGTTTATATTGAATAAAAACAACAAAAAACATCCAAATAATGTAGTATATAAGGTTTATTACATTCATCAGCTGTAAAATACAGCAGATGGAACATTTGAAAAGACCTGGAACATCGACTCTTTAGCTCCATAATCCTGGAGTTGTCCTCCAGACCTCCAGCTTTCAGTTGGTATACACTGTATGTATTTAAAAAACGAGATGAAGCACTGGTCACTGCCCTGCGGTCATGTATAACTGCCGCTGCTGCTGTAATTAAGACCTGAGGAGACATTTAATTTGTTTCTTTTGTCCAGATGAGGCAGAGCGACCCTGAAGTGCTCACAGCTTTGACCCACAGACCGTGGAGCCTGAGCACTCTCGGCGACGGTACCCCACGTTTTTCATCCATGTGGAAACATCACTGGATGACCATGATGGACATCCTGCTGGACTGGGCTCATCACCACCTGTTGTGGAAGCTATGTGGCGTCTCGGCCTTCCTGATACAGAAGAACTTTGTATCACAGTGAGTTTCATTTGGCCCTTTTTTTCTTTTTTCTCCGTTTTGTATAATTGAACATTTGCGCTGAAGCTGATCCTTATAGAGTCTGAATGTTGGCACAGCACTGTTGCTGATCATGCTGTTACCAATGGGCCGTTTTTACTTTCTGCAGGAATTATATCCAGTACTGGGCTCAACGGGGAGTGGAGGTTGTAGCCTGGACCATCAACACTAAATTGGAGAAAGAGTATTTCCAGGAGGTGCTACACATCAATTACATCACTGACAGCCTCGTGGAAGACTGTGAACCTCATTACTGAGAAACACCCAAACTATAGGTGCACTTAACTTCTCATTATGAGACGACAGTGGGAGGTTTTAACCATTTCTCAGCTGTAGGCCCTCTTCTCACCGGAGTAAGACCATGTGACGCATTAAAAACCTGCCTGAAAGCAGGAAACATCTCCTGGGTTGCACATTGTACATAGTGTGTGCTTCATTATGACGTAGGTTAGAGTTCCACCACTGAAAAGCACATACACCTTCATAAGGTTGCTACAATATGTTAAAGCAGTTGTTTGTGTCGTTTGTGTCACAGAAAAAAATAAAAGCCTAAGATCGTATTCACTGATGGGGAGGGAGGTGAAAGAGTTAAAAAAAAAATTTAAAAAAATGGTGGATTATACTTTAAAATGGCTGCATTTGACCTTCTAAAAACTAACCAAAGGATTCAGACTTGGTTTGATTAAGCTGACACTGATTATTACAAAATAGCCAGTTTATATTTAAATGGAGGATTCCCTCTGGAGGGGCTGCTCAGTGGGTAGCACTGCTGCTTTGTAGCAAGAAGGCTTCTGGTTCAATTCCCGGTCTGGGGTCTTTCTGAATGGGGTTTGCATGTTCTCCCTGAGCATGCGTGGGTTCTCTCTGGGTACTCCAGCTTCCTCCCACAGTCCAAAAACATGACTGTTAGGTTAATTGGCTTCTCTAAATTCTCCTTAGGTGTGTGTGTGAAGGGTTGTTTGTCCTGTGTGTCTTTGTGTTGCCGTGCGATGGACTGGTGACCTGTCCAGGATGTACCCCGCCTCCATGGATGGATGGATGGATGGATTTCTTCTAGAAGATTTCATGATTATGTGTACTCTGTCCCTCTGCACTAGATGGTAATATCACATATATTGATAGCTAGTTTACTAAGGCTGAATCTTATGAATGTGCAGAAACCTCCCATGTTGTGTTGGCGTTCTAATAAGATAACACGAAGCAGCAGCTTCTACTCCATTATTGTTTTTGTGCCCAAATCTCTTGACATTTAGGTATTTTTTTGAGATTCTGGACCACAAGAGAGTCCAAATCTGGTGTGAAAAGGGTCTGCTAGGATAAATATTAGTGCTGTAATCATATACTGAGTTTTATCTGGGGCTTTTCCAGGAGTCTGACTTTTTAAACCCATTTTCTACCTTCATATCGAGATGCCAAGTACATAGTTTTATTCTCTTCTGAATATAATGTATCTAATCGTGCATGTGCTCTATGTAAATAGACATTTTCAGACAGTGTGTTTGTACTTTTTTATCTTTAAAAGATGCATCTAAGGCTGGCTGTGCAAAAGTCTGGAGTGATATTTGTTCCCTTGGAATCAACTTTTTGGTGAATTTTTATTTTTATTTTTTCTTATACAGGGTTTATATTTATTTTCCCTCTCCAAGAGGAACCCTGATTAAAACAAATTAAGCAAAGAAAGTTCGTTTGTTGAAAAAAAATCACTTTTGCATCCTGAATTCAAAATATGCTGCTTTTTAAAACTAAACTCTAATTTGTTTCTCATGAAAACCATTATGATAACAGTACATATATGAAAAGATCCTCAACACTGTTATTCCCTCCCCATTCAATATGACCATTTTAGCTTTTTTGCAAAGAAGACTTAACCCTTTATTGGGCAAGTTACCGGTTTTGATCACTTGCATACCCCTTAGAAATGGAGTCCCCCACTTTTGTTATTTTTCTTAATTTATCAAGTTGGCGTTTCTTGTTATAACATAACATTCATTTTACCATCAAAATATCCATATTTTTTTTAATGTTACAAAGATAATAATTCAAGAAAAAATGCACTTATTTTAAGAAAAAATTACGTACTTAGATTTCAGTTTTTTGCAGTGCGCTCTTTGCTTGAACGTTAGATATTTAAAGTCTTTCACTAAGTGCCCTATAAAGGGTTAAAAAAACAGAAGGAAAAATGAAATCTCCACTGTAAGGCAAGGTGGTGGCAGCATCATGCTGTCCTAATCCTGGATTCAAATCTTCTTAAAGTGAATCTCCACCTTTGAAATATTTTTAAATCTTGAAAAAAAAAAAAAACTGATTTCCAGGATGACTTCACAGCAAAAAGATTTTTGAAAATATAATCAGAAACACCAAATAATTATTGCTTAACATGTTTATTTAAAGAAAATGTTAAAAAATTAGGGTTCCCTCAAGACTTTTGCACAGAACGTCTTCTATTCTCAGGTTTTTTACGTTTTTTTCCTGCTAGTTTACTGTGTTTATTACCGTACTCACTGTTTGGGTCTTATAATGTTTGTGTAAAGGGAGAGTGTAAAGGAAACTACATATATCAACATGTTTTGTTTATGAATGGTCAATCAGAGTTCCTCTACAGATTTAGTTTTTGTCAGACTAATTTAGTGATAGCCCCACTAAATTTTTGTGGGAAAATAACAAAATCTGGATTAAAATAATCTAGACTCTACATAGAAAAGAGAGTGTTACAAACACATTCAGAGACCTAATGTTTCCCTGCAGTGGATTACTGATTCCCACTGATGGTAATCTTTACCCAAAGTTCTCTGAAATTGTTCTCATTTTGACCAGCAGATTTTTATTTATTGTTTCTCACTTTTGTCTTATGAACAAGTCGGTCCTTTTAGGGAATGAGAGCAAACAAACGTATCTGCCTGTAGATTGAGCTCTTGAATGTAACTACCTTTAAATTGAAGTCTAAACCTGAGCTTTGCCATTTAGATGTGTGACATATATTAGATTATAAATGGGATATTTTAGTGGAATATAGCTGTTATTAATAATCCATACTTGAGTATTTAAGAAAACTTGATTATATTGTTTGTTTGTCATGTTTTGCACAATGTATACAGAATGTCATCAAATTGCCTATTTCATTATAAGTTTTAAAATAAAGCAATATATGAGTTATTTTGTTTGAATGTGTCTGTTTTGATCTTGAAGGTACCAAAAAGTAGAAATGTTCATATTGCTTAATATATTAATTAATCCAATGGTTTACCTAAGAGGCAGGAAGTGCAAAGTTAAGGTGCAAAAGAGACGAACATCTGAGAACATTGGTTTGTAAAGTATCCATACTCTCATCTCATTCTTTGACATCACAACTTAAAACATCCATTTTTTATCAGGCTAATGCTTCTCATTGATACAATAAATAAAATCCAGGGAAATTGTTGTAATATTAGTGTAGGTAAAACTGATCTGTGAAAGTCGGGGAGAATTATTAGAGCAGAGAAAAACAAAACAAACAGGTCGTGATTATGTTTATTATGCCTAACTTCATCATCTGACAGAGTTTAGAGCAGGGGTGGGTAATTCCAGTTCCTGATGGACAATATCCTGCAACTTTTAAATGTGCCGTTGGTTCAACACACCAGAATCGCCTGAATCAGATTTGTTGGATCAAGGGTGACTCTAAAATTTGCAGGATACCGGGCTTCAGGTACTGGAATTGCCACCTCCGCTGGTTTAGAGCAACTCCAAATCTGCCAAGACTGAGCTGTCCATCAAAACAAAGAGGGAAATAATCAGAGGAACTGTGGAGAAGAGGGAAGACGGGAAACATGGAATAAGGTGTTGATTCAAGATCACTTCACTAGAACATATCTACATGCAGAACCTTTCAGGCTACATTCAAAGCACCATGTGGAAAACTAACATCTCAGATCATCCAGGTTGAGAAACATCATACAGTGGGAATGGTTTTCTTTAGAAAGAGAAACGAGTAATACAAGTTAATCCTGGAAGAAAACTTACTAAAGGCTGGAAAAGACAGAAGATTTAGACAAAGCTTGAGATTTAGCAGGAAATCAACCTAAACATGAAGCCAAAACTACCAAGGGATTGTTAAAACAGATTACATTTCTGTTCTAAAATGTCCTAGTTATAAAACCCAGATATAAAAGCTACAGCCTGACTTAAAACTTGATTTTGCCAGACAGTAGCTTGACAAACAAATGCACAAAGTTTTATTTCATTTGTCACCTGACCAAAGGCAAGTAATGTTTGCAAAGCATTTTAAAATATTAATTTGAACAAAAAACATCTGACGCTGCTCTCTAAAGCTATTGTGACAGTAAAGCTAATTCCTCGCAGCTGCTCTGTTTTACATGTTGGGGAAAATAAGGAGCAGGTGGCAGATTCTGAGGGCACAGACCTACCACAGTGCTTCAGATGAACCAGCAGGGAACTGATGCTTAGATAATGGACTAATAAGGTCTAAGAAATGAGATAATTTGGACTGCAGGTTGTGCTCCTGAGGACCTTTCTTTCACTTTGGTACTATCAGCCATTTTTATGGTTTGGTTTGTTGGATCATCAGCTTATCTACCTCTGAAAGGAATGAGATAAGCTCGTCGGGAAGACCAGCTCTGCCCTAAGATGCCCCCCGGACCTCGTGCATGTGGTTGAAGACAGCAGGACTGTAGCAAAAATAATCTCTAGTGAACTAATTCTCCCAGCACATGCATAAAGCTACAGAGCTCCATTAGTAAAAGACAGGGCTTTATCATAGATCAGGCATGTCCAAAGTGGGTCCTCATGCAGCTTTTAGAGGTTTCCCTGCTTCAGCACTGCTGATTTCCACTGATAACTTAACGGGCTTCTGCTGAACTGCATTCATCAGAATCGGCTATGTTGAAGCAGAGAAACCTCTAAAACCTGCAGGACAGCGGCCCTTGAGGACCCACTTTGGACATGCCTGTCATAGATCATTCCTCCTGCTGTCTGCACGTTTTATACGTTTTATTTAGTAAATGATGTTATTTTAATGCATAATTATATATGCATATCTTCTTCACTGTGAAAAAAAAAATCACCACTCAATGGGGCATGGGATATAACTACTTAACAAAGAGGAATTTGCTGTTCATTTCTAATATTATTTAGCAGGCTTAACATTTACTAAACTGCCTTTTAGCCATTATTATTACACTAATCATCTAATGCAAATGACACCAATTATCAGTGCTAGTTAATTATGCAAAAACAGAAATACACAGGTTAAAATGTCATAAATCCTGTCTAAAAAAAAGTCTGATTCTAATGAGAATATTTATCTCCTGCTGATCTTTTCATTCATTTTTGACGCCACAGCTGCGTGTTTCTGAATGGATTTTAAATGATCAGGTTTTGTCAGGTAAAGGTTTTATGACTTTGCTGTTAATGTTAAGCTGTGTGTAGTGGATTGAAGATGATTAGCCTGCTGCTGTCTGACCCAGATAGTGCAGATGAATGAGGGGTGGAGGGGGAGTAGGATTGGATATCACTGCAGATAAGCCTGTCTGAGCCGCGTCTTGTCTCTGCTGATCTTCAGGAGCTAAACGCAGACCGTGAGCTGAACCTCAGGTGCTTTTCACCTGAATGCCTGTTTATAGCTGCTAGATCCCAGTGATGCCATCGGAGGAACCAGCTAGAAAGGTGTAAATCTAAAGATTAAAAGAAAAATATTTAAATAATTGAAAAAAGGCTGAGTCACCGTAGAGTGAAACCTTGTTAATTAACAACCACACACTAAAAAACATTTCATCTCTGTTTAAAGTGGTTTATTAGGTGAAAGGTTAACAGTTGGCTCCACCTACAGAGTTTAAAGAGAAACGAGGCTAAAGGAAACCAGGGACTTTCAACTTCAAAATAAAAGCAGTCATTTTATAACCTCATAGAAAAACAGCCAAAGTATTTTTGAAATAAGATGTTTTTATCCATCGTTATTATTGTGTAAAATAAAAAGGGTCCTTGTGAAATAAAATGTATTTCTCTTAAACTTTTATACAAATATTTTCAAAATCTTCAACAATAGAATTAGTTATAAATACAGGTCGTTAACAGTAAAAGCTTAATTACGTAAAATATTAATTTGGGCCATTACTTCAGTAAAAAGCAAAAAATTCAAATATCTTAAATAAAAATACAGATAAATTATATATATATATATATATATTTATATATATATTAACCTCTAATGTGTTATATGTTTAAATGCTTTTAAGTTGAAAGTAAAATAATTTGAAGAAGACTCAATTATCTGTAATTGTTTTACTTGATGTTTGTCTTTGTTTTTTTTATGTACCTGTCATTTAATTCAATGTATTTGTTCGTTATGTAACTTTGCTGCCTCTTGCTCAGGGCTCCCTTGAAAAAACGTTTTAATCTCAATTGGATTTTTTTCTTGGTTAAATAAAAAAAATATATATATCATACTGGTCCTATAGTCACTCTATTACAGATGGAGTAATGTAATGAAAGTAATTTCTCCCTGGGATTATTAAAGTATTTCTGATTCTAATTCCTGGTTGATAGGACAGGTGTTGTGAATGAAACGGTGCCCAGCTTGAAAGAGCTCCTGTGTGTCGCTGAATGTGTGCATTGATGACTGAAAGACATTTTCTGCCTCCGTTTATCTGTTTACTACAGTGTGTTAAATTCTTGTTAATGTGGATTTAAAGACATTTCAATTAGTGTAAAAAAAAAATGCAGGGGGGAATATAAAAAAAAGTCTAATCAACCAAAACCCATGCAGTACCTCTGTGGACCCACTGTTGAAGACCTCCTCTCCAAACCCATGTTGTGACGTTTTATTTTGAAATTCATCACCGGAAGTTTTGCACATCTTACTGTTTAACTTGACAGTGTAAAAGAGGGGCAGTGCTCAATCCTTATGAAAGTAAAGTGCGGTTCGCCCTTGTAATCTGCCAGAGAAGCAGGCGTTTAGCAGTCAGCTCCAGACCTGCAGCGCTGCCCAGAGGACACGGTGTCAGAACCAGGGTGTCTCATTCCGCGCGTGTCGTGGAGCCTTCAGGATCCCCGCCATGTGGAGCCGCGTTCTCCTTGAATGACCTACACACCAACCTAAACTACGCACTGGCCCCTGATCAACAGCTGGCCAAGAGCAGCACAGCTGGCGGTGACCCAAGCAAAGCCAGTCCCATGCAGGCTTCTGGCCGACCTCAGAGCAGCTGACCCCCCCACTCCCACGGGCGACAGAAACACGCAAACAGGAGGACCTGCGTCAAAAGGAGCGATCTGGAAGTTTCAGCGAGCAGGAGTTTAAAGGTGGTCATCGGTGCAGGGTTGGAAACTCTCTCTGACGTCACATGATGTACACAATCACTAGAGGTCCCAGCAAGCTTGTTACGCAACGAAGGACAGGTGAGTGGCGGCTCACCTGGAGCAGTGACGCCATGTGACGTCAGAGCTTGGTGTAAAGTTGATGTAAAAAGCTTCAGGTGTTGCTCTCTCCTCAGGTCCCACTCAGCAGATCGAGAACAAGTTCAGCGACTTGAAGCTAAAGCCCACCTCCTGGCTCAGCTCAAAGTCAGTACCTTCCCCTTTATTCTATCGCTGCACCTGCAATTATGGGGGTTTGTTTACGTGAATCGAGCTGGCAGCCGCGTGGGCCCAAAATACCTCTTCCCACGTGGACCAGCAGCGCTATCATGTAACAGCTCGACGTGGCCTGCATCCATTGTCGGACATGTTTTTATTTTTTTATTTCATATATCAAAATATATTTGTCTGTCATAAAAAGGCCAAATTATTATGATGACCTTTACTTTATTAATAATATTATAGATCCATGCATTCCTCTTCTAATTAATTTTTCTCAATTAGAAAGAAATTATATATTTAAATGTCAGAATATAAAAACAAAACACAAGCCTTTTAAAATACATTTAGATCAAAAATGAATTTAACAAAAAAAAGTAACTAAATATTATTAACTAGGCATGTTTTGATGGTTTTGAGCCCTTAAATTGATTGATTAATCTCATAGTGGAGAAATGTACTCATTACATCAGCTCAAATGGTCAAAGAAGTAGAGTGTGCCAAAGGGAGAATAAGGTGCATGGGATATATACAGTGCTTACACATATTTATGGAATTGATGACAAGATTATTATACAGGGTTATGGCAAAGGGTGTGTACACTGTATTTATATGGATTGATATTTTCATATATAGTTATTGCACTGGGTGTTAAATATAGAGAAACAGGTTATTGCACAGGGTATTCAATAATAATTACACATTATACAGAAGTTATTACCGTTGTATTGTTGCATTGTAGAGTCCGGTTGCAACAGGGATGAATGACCTGTGGTAGCGCTCCTTTTTACAAATGGTGTGTTAAAGTCTCAGCTCAGCTCCTCTACAGAATGGTGCAGAGGATGGATGGATGTAAACTTGCACAGCACCCTCCTCTCTTCCTCCACTGAGTCCAGAGTGCAGCTTAGGACAGAAGCAGCCTTTCTCACTAGTTTGTTCTGTCTCTCTCTGACCCACTCTGTGCTGCCAGGGCCCCGGAAGACAACAGCGTATAGGAGGGCTGATGCCACCATAGAGTCATAGATGGTTATAAGCAGGGGCCTGCTCACTCCAAAGGATTTCAGCCTCCTCAGGAGGTGGATGCGTCTTTGGGCCTTCTTTTAAAGGGCATCAATGTTATTAGTCCAGTCCACTTTGTTATTGACATGAACACCCAGGTATTTGAAACTCTCCAC